CCTGACACTCTGAGCTCCTCTTTGTGCCCGTGTCCTCTCCGGAAGGTTGGAGCACACAGCTCCTGCTGGGGTGCCGCAGTCACTGTGTGCATCCTTGGGCAGAGCGTGGTCCCACTTGGCTTTGTTGACTTTGCCGTCTCACTCAGTCGGGTTATATCAGTGAAGGACACATCATACTAACCAGACATCTCAGAGTCTGTCACAGCAAGGTGTGAAGACAGATACAAGCTCCTTCTGCCCAGGCTGTGAGCTGGCTCCACTGAAGGCATTGCAGATACAAACTGCAACTTAAATAGCTCATACTGCACTTGAGCTGATAAGCCTTGCTGTGCAGCCACGTGTACCACCTCTCACTATCACACCGCAGTTAACAGCTTGGAAAATTAGCAGGGCTGTGCCTCTCGGTCTCTGAGAACAGGCAGGGTGGTTCATTTGTCCACATCCATCCTGGCAATTGTGTGAAACATCATCATGCAGCAAACTGTGAGGGCATTGGAGAACTTGTGATGAATTGTGACATTATACCTCTCAGAAAAGCATGAGAGTTTGTGCATGCATTCCCCAGATCTTCTCATACCAGCTCTGTCTTATTAGCCTACTCCTAAGGTACTTGATATGTCTTGATCTATTTATTCTATCTTCATGTACTACTATTTGCATATACTTTCAGTTAAAATTGCTCTCTCCGCTTTTCACTTCCCTGGTGCTTGGTACCATGCTCGTTAGCCTGAACAGAAAAATTACTTTCAATGCCATTTAAAATATTGATTTTCTCACTTTGCACTGTTTCCTGTGGCTGAAGGGTTTGATTTAATAAAGCTGGATTTTTCAAGGATTAATAATAATAATAATGGCCCATCTTCGCGAACGAAGATTTGGGGAAAGGTCTTTTACCTTTCCAGCCTGCGCAATGGATTTTTTAGGTGAGACACAGCCTGCGCTGAACTGAGCCCACCCTTTAATCCTAAGGTTCATCTGCCGGGGCCAAGCAAGCTTGGACAATGGCAGTGAGGTCCTCAGGACGTAGGTTTGTTTAGAGTGTCCTTCTCATAGATGGATGGCCACACAGGGCTAACGACCTCCATCAGGCCAGGAGACCGGGATTTGAACCCGTGGTCGCAGCAGTGAAAGTCCTGCACGCTAACCACTGGGCCACCAGGGGTCTCAAGGATTAATACATAGCATAATAAAATGGATCATATAGGAAAACAATGGTTTTTGAGGAGCAAATGGGATTTGGTGAGGAGTGCTATACCAATGAAATCAAGAAAAGTTTCTTAACTGTTGAATGGATGTTAAATGATTATATTCTGGTAATGACTATCAGAAAACTCATAATTAGAAAAAACTTGATTTGAATGACAAATGTCCAGGCATTTCTTCTCAAACAAACATTACTTAAGTTGATCTAAGTTAATTGAAATGCCTGAATTAGTAAAGCAGAAAAATGCATCTTTACTCTTGGAATTTAGAGCACTTTACAGTCTAATAGCCTAAGTCAGCTTGAAGCTAGTGTTGCTATTTGTCCCCTGTGATTGTGGTTGGAGTATAGTTCACTGTATTAGCATAATTATTTTGTATATTTGAGTATAATTAGTTTCAGTTATACAGAGTGGTTGGGTATTTGAATTTATCTTTGCTCTTGTAAAGTAAAATATAAGTTTATTTTCGGAAAACGAAGAGTCACATGTCAGAACTGGGCAATTTTTGTAGGTGCTGTACAAGCTCTTATGATGCCTTTTCAAAGGCAGTTTATATCAATCTAGGACAGCACTGCCTCAGAAAGGAACTAATGTCTGTTTTGCTGGCTTCATGGTTCTGCCTCCTCCTTTGCGTTTTGATTTTGAGAAGAAAGTAGTTAAATTTAAAAGTCCATTTAATTTTAATTTGGATCAGCTACAACTTGCCTTGAAGTCACTGGAGCCAACAAAATTAGAGTACAAAGAAGCATGGTGAGGGTGAGGTGAGCCCCCTGGCAGTGTCATGCCCTTCAGCTGGCTAAAGGTGACTGTGAGGCTGTGCTGTGAAGAACATTATGCACAGAGGCATTCCAGGGAGCTGGCACACATGCCTGTGGTGGTGTTTTTAGTAAAGCTTAACTTTCTGCATTTTAATCATTCATTATCCTGCCAGTGTGTCCACATGTAATATATTGAAGTGCTGTCATAAGGCAGCCAGAGTTCTTTTTAGAATTTTTTTCTTAAGTTACACTGCCACCTGTAATAGCTAATATATTTGAGTCTTATTTGAGGTTTTAGTAAAAGTGATACAAATTCATCTCAGTATTTCTTCTTTATTTGCAATGTCTGGTTTTTAAAGTGTTCCTGAAGCTAAATTTAAAAAGTCTGTTTCCTCTTTTATTTGCAGCCATTCTTCTGCTAAGCTCTTGCACTGTGACTTGTCATATGCTCTGTGCAGAGCTTCTTCATCCTTTCCAGGCTCTGAGGAAGTGTGAGTTTCTGCTATTACCAGATGTCTCCTCTTTAAAATACCTACTCTTACACTTTTAAAATTAATGCTATTACTATTAATCCTTCTTTAGGTTAACAATTCACTGAATTAACTTATGTTTATAACTTTAATATTAGAGGAAACCAAGTTGACAAATATTTACAAGTAAAGCGTTCTGTGATGTCTCCCTGTGCCGTTTTTAAAGAGATTTTGACTGGGGAATACCATAGGCTTTTTTAACAAAGATCTCTTTGGGAATACTGGCCCCCCAAAACCAAACCAAACCAGTAATTAGTGGCTCTTGTTTGCCACTTGCTGCACCAACTTTTTTCCACTTGCCTACCAGCTCGGCTGAGAGATCTTCAAGCAGTGGTGATAGTTGAAAGAAGTATTTGATCAATATCCCGTGTCCTCAGTAGGGGAGCATCTCAAGAACATTCTCTTAAATGTCCATTTCCTCACTAGACTTCGGTGAAAGTCTGTTGAGAGAGAAAGCCTTGAAAAATGGTTTTCTTGCTCAGAAGCTGCTAAATGAAATAAGGAATTGAACAGAAATGCATTTCTGCTGCTTTACTTTTGAAGGAAAAATTTTTGTTATACATTGAGTGACTAGAATATTTTGCAGTTTGTTATGCTTGGATGCATACTTTAGACCAAATCCAACCTTCCATTCAGGTGTTGTAGATGTTGCAGTTGCTTCTAGGGGAAATAAAATAAAAAATCCAAAAGTAATGGATAAGAGAATGGATAAATAGTTTTAAAATATATGCTTTTTAGCTCCTTTTTTTTTTGCTCACTTAGTTGTTTGGTTTGGTTTTCAGTTTTTGTTGCTAAGCTCCACAGATCATAGGAATGCAGAGTCTCTCACTGATGATTTCATTTCTGCTCAGAGTCTGAAATGCATGGGCAGAAAGTTAACATGGGCTCTGCACTGGCCAAGCTTTTAGCCCTCTCCTTTCACAGTCTACCACATCTCCAGTGCTTCAGCTGAAGAAGGGCATCAAGTGGAACTAGATGTAAAGCAGAATATTTCCTGGAGTAGGCTAAAGCAAAAATATTTCATTATTGTTGTCCCACAGGGCCTTTCTACAGTTTGTGAATAGGTAATGAGTAGGCTCTCCTGCCAGGCTGATCATTTACGCCAAAGCTCCATGTATATAAAATTGAATTGTTTAGAGAGCAGTTTCCGTTAGCACTGCAACCACAACTAAGATTGCTTTCTTGGGTGTGTAAGCTATGTTCCATTTTTTTTGGTTACAAATGGTACAAGCAGTTTGAATACCTAAATTTCCAAAAAGCAGGCCTTGAAATTGAATTCACATATCTGTGACATACCTTATGATGAGACTAAAAACCTTGAAAATGAAAAACATTGGTATAAAGGCAGTCAAGAATATACTCATTGAGATCGGGAGGTCATACATGATTCAATAAAGTGGAATGAATATACCAGTAAGGGCTTTTACAAGTAAAACAGGATGATTATGACTATTCTAAATAAAGTGTATTACTTAAATGAATTTAATGTCTCTTATAATACTTGCACTAATGGTTAAAGTTTAGGACTAATCTAATAGATACTGTTGGTTTTGGGAAAAAATGAGGAAGACACAAATACAAAAATCAATACCTGAGAAATACAGCCAGCTAAAAACACAATAGGGTTGTTTTTCTCTAACCCAGAGTCCTCTGGCCTCTAGAAAGAGGTAGGCTGAGAAAATATCTTTGCTGAACCCACTCTATGCTTTTACAGAAGCATAAGCATATTTATTGCAACATATAAAGTGCCTTCGACATTCAGGATCAAATCTGTTTAGACTGAGTGCACAGAAGGGAAAAAACACACTAGACACTTAATTTTCACATTTCCTATGTAATTTAAATAATTCATTCCTCTTTCAGTGTTGGGTTTTTTGGTTTTGGTTTAGTTTTGATCAGGTTTTTTTCTGAAGACCACAACATCTAAATACTTGTCTTAACTTGTTTAAAGCTGTGCAAGGAGCAGTTATTATCAGTTGACTCATCAGAGTTCATCGTATTTTGAGTGTTTTTGAAGTCAGCAAGCTGTGCAGGTGGAACACATGGTGCTTGAAGTATTTTCTCTGCTTTATGTTACTGATACAAGTTTGTGTGTAAAATTTTATTTTTAATTACAGGCTTAGCAGGAAATAAAGATGCCAGATTCACACTGTTCATCAAAACATATGCTCAAGGAAGCACAGATTCTGTGATTAGTCCTCGAACTTCTGAGTTTTTCACTTAATGTTTGAAAGTTGGGCATTTTTTAAGTTGCTGTAAAAATTGTAAAAGTAATTTGTTATATCATGTTCAAATCCACTGTAATAACATTAGTGCAGGTCAGCTAATCCACAACTGCACTGAAAGCCCCCATGCATTCCCAATTTAAAATCTAGATGCTTGGTGAGTTGTAAATTATTATTAAACATGGAAGTACTGTGTCATCAAAGTAGTGAGTGAGTGCTGGCATGCAAACTTATGTGACATTTGAATGTATTTCTAATCTGAATGACTTGTCTTATTTTTTCCAGCACACAACCACAATCAACATATCTATTTTCAAGTTTCCCTTGGGCTATTAAACCCTGAGACATCTGGTTGCAAATATTGAGCGCTGGATTGATACTGCCCTTTTCAGTCAGATGGAGACTTTGGAGGAAAAGAGCAATCTCCTTGGTTTGCAGGCAGACAACAGCATGGAACAACCATTCACTGTCAGCTCATTGGTGCGTATTACAAAGAAATGCTTCAGTGGCTGAGCAACTCCTCTTTCAATTAGGAATCAGTTCAAGAGAGCTGTTTAGCAGTGTTGGCTGTCAGCTCCATGGGTCTCTTCCTGCATGCTACCAGTTCCTCCCACATTCTGCCTGATGGTTTTGTTGGAATTTATTTTATTTCTATGTGCGTGGTTTATGGGATTTCAGCAATCGGGTTTCTAAGAAGTTGAAACGGACATTTTGAGTAGAAAGAGTAATTTCATCAAAGTAAGAGGAAACAACTTGCACTAGCCAATTATTGAGCTACTTAACAGGAAGGTAATGACCACAATAAGAAGCTATGCTTCTTCTTCAGTAGTTAGTTCTGACTTATTTAACTGCCTCATTTAAAATTGGAAACAAAGATTTGAAGTGAACTGTTGACTGAATCAGGAGAACTTATTGCTCTTTGTTAACTGAACTATTCCAAGCAGTCAAAGCTATACATCATGTAATAGGAGTCTGAGTATTCAGGACCTCCATCAAATTATTTCAATAACTTAAGACAGACCCTTGTAGAATTCATGTGTGGGGGATTCTAAAGGGTTCTATTGCCTTTGGTAATTTCTATAGGGGATTACTTAATTTTATCTTTTTTTTTCTTTTTTTTTTTTTCTACAGGGGTTTTCCTAATTTTGTCTTTTTTTCGAGGGGGGGAAGGGAGATAAGATCACTTTTTATTTTAATTGTAATCACAATTTATTTTTCAACTGAGAAATATGTTAGAATGTTTCAGCTGTGGCTAGCGGTGGGGAAACCAATGCCTGTTATGAGAAAAAATTAGCTGAAGATTTCCCTTGAGCTTCTTGACTGAGACCGCTTACTGAAAGTGAAACGGAATATTCTCTTTGCTAATCAGTCTGTTCCTTTTCAGAAAAAGCTAGTAGCTATTCCTGACCACACAGACATCTCTGTGACTCCAGAAGAGAGAGTACGTGCCTTAAGCAAACTTGGCAGCAATATCACAATCAATGAAGATATCACTCCACGCCGTTACTTTAGATCTGGAGTAGAGATGGAGCGAATGGCGTCAGTGTACATGGAGGAGGGCAACCTGGAGAACGCTTTTGTTTTTTATAATAAGTTCATAACGTAAGAAACCAAATGTAGTCTTTACAGCTTATAATTCTGAGTGAACTGAAATGGAGAGCTGCAGTGAAAACCCCTGTAGATGAGGAGAAAATTGTTCAGTGTGTTCTTGCAGAATGACTTTGTTCTCTGGAAGTCTTTATGCTAAGCACAGGCTTTGTTAAAATTGCATCTCACCTGTTTGTATGGTAGTCCTACCCATCTCTTAACTGCTAGGCATGACTTAACCTAATACACAGAGGTTGGAGTTTACTGTGCAGGCCATACCATGAGCACTGTTGCCCACAGATTATTCTGTATATATCAGCATGTTGGTTAAATACAGTGTCTGACTTACAAAGCGATGTTTAGATAAGATTTCTGAGCCTTTAGTAGTTATGCCCTATGAGTGTCTACTGATCTTAAAGATGGTAGTATTGCAGAGCACTTTAAAAACATAGGAAAAAAATGGCTTTTTGCTTATTTTTCACTTTCCTTCACAAGGATCAAGTTTGTTACGCAAAACCTATAATATATGTTCATTGTATGATTATTCTCCCCACCGCAATAAAACAGTTCTGGCCAGCTTTCATTACAACTATCAAAATAGACGGCCAAAAAATATATTAGTGGCAGATTTAAATGTTTAACCTAGCTAGTTTTGCTGTAGTGTTGCTTGGTTTGTTTTATTACTTCTGAAAGGTTTTTTTTAATATGCATATTCTAAAATTTTTATAATAGGAAACATCCTTCCTCCCTCCTTATTTTCCTCATGGTCCGAAAACTAGACCAAACCTTTCTTATCCCACTTGATTTTAGATTTATCTATGTCCATAAAAAGAGGGTCTGGAGGTGAACATTGTGCAACTTGCTGAAAGAATGATAGCAGCTGTATATTCCAAACTCTGTGCAGTTGAGTGTTGCCATAATTTATCTGTCAGGTAGCTGTGCAGCTCGGTCTGGTAAAAATAACTGCTTTAATGATAGTCAGTGTCACATTCTTTCTTTAAGGTTCAGCATTTTGGCTAAGAATAGATAAAGACAGTAGAAATAGTATTTATTAACGCTGAGTAGAGTGGAGGTTGCTTTTGATGGATATTTTTAGGTGCTGCCTGCTAGTTAGTCCTTTTTTTTTAATCCAACCCACTACTAATGAAAGCCAGACTATATATCAGATGTGGAAAATAATCTCCTGTCTTTATCCTGTGTGTCTCATGCAGGTCCATACAATAATGTGTTATTTTAAACATGTGTGTAGAAACATGCTCCAAGTCATCTGGAATTCAGTGTTTAACAGTTATGTGAAACTGATTTTTCTGCCAGCATAAAAGCTATTATGGATATTTCTCTGAATTCTGAGGCAAACACATGCATGTTTAATTTTCTAGATTATTTGTAGAAAAGCTGCCCAGTCACCGAGACTATCACCAATGTGCAGTACCAGAAAAACAAGATATTATTAAGGTAGGGTTATGGTTTCCTGGCATTTAAGAAATGTTTTGCACAGAATCTCTCAGTTTTTTCTTAGCACTCCTTTTCCTCCCATGCACACATAATCCATGGCAGCCACCACAGCTTGAATTTCTGATACCTTTCTCCACTAGCCATTCATGTTTTATTTTGGTTTAATTATTTGATCATTACTGGAAATTAAATTATCAGTCTAGAAGGTGAATGAGAATGGTTGCTGGGCTGTTGGAAACTCAGGTACATCTATTTCTGAAAGTTTACATATTAAAAATACAATATATTAACAGTACTTAGTTTGATTCTGGTCCCAATTATGTGCGTGGATAATGGTCCAAGCTAATGATTGCAAACAGAGGGAGAGATATGTGGCATTACTGGTGTCTGTGCAGTATTTGCTTATTCTGCTAAATAAGCAAAGTATATTTTTGCTTTCTTTATTACCAAATATATATTTACATAGTTTTTACCAGGTTTTTTCCCTCAATTTCTATACAAAATAGTTTTACTTGATTTTTTTCCCCCTCTAGAAAATGAATTTCAAATGCAGCCTTATACTGAGCTTTAAACAACTGGAGTTGCCCAGTGAGAATTGTTAGAAGGAGCACAATTGTCTCTTGCTTCATGCTCCCATATTTGCATGCTTTTTCTGCTGCTAAAGCTGAGTGTTATAGTCAAAATCAAAATGCTTTATGCCAAAGTTTCGACTGTGGCCACAATCTAGGGAAAACATACCTACTGAGAAGGGGCATCCAACATGCCTCCCCTATGGCACTCAGCAGAGTTAAGCAAATGGTCTCTTTCCCTTCCTTGCCTACAGCCCCTGAATTATTTTGTAGTAGCCTTCACATTAGTAGAAAACATTGGGCATTGGTTTTGTTTTACAAACAATATTGTTTTGTCTTCCAGGGCTGTCACAGAAAGCTACAGGGCTCTTCAAAGAAACGTTTTTTTCCCCCACCAGGAAACAGGCTTATTTAGGCATATTTATGACCAGGAAGTCAATGCAATGATCCTACTTGAAACTTTGAAAGTTGGCCTTAGCTTTTTTTATAAATTACACCTACAACAAAAACGTTACTCACCACACTCTGTTTAAACAAAACAGAGATAACAGATTGCTATTAAAAGAGCTGATCTTTCCTTGAGATAAGAAGTAGCCATGTCACACCTTTCACTAATATAAATTAATATAACTTTATTGAAATCAGCGTACTATAGAAGTTTCATAAGCTGATGATTTAGTATGTATTTCTTCCTTTTTTTTTTCCTGGGAGAAGAGCAGGGTTTTTTTCTATTTTGTATTTTTTTAAATCTATTACAGCTGAGTTTGTTTTCCAGGTGGTTCTTTTAAAAAGTGAAAAGTAAACTTACCTATCTTTCTCCCCCATTCCACCCCAAAGAAATTGAAGGAAGTTGCATTTCCACGGACAGATGAATTGAAAAGAGATCTTTTAAAAAAATACAACTTAGAATACCAGGAATACATGCAAAAAAAAGTAAGTTTTATATGGTTATTAAATAATGGTTTACATGAATATTTTTCTGTCATATAAAACTTAAAAATTAAGCAGTAAAATGCCAGGTCTGCAATAACCTAATAATTTTCTGGGCTGATTAGTAATGACTTTTCATTTCTTCTTTAGAATCAGCTTGTCATTTGAAAATAAGTGATGCAAGTGTGTGCTAGGAAATACATATTCTGTGATATTTACTTAATAACTGTCTACAAATATCTGGATAGGTCTTTGGTACACTGATTCTGTTTTATAAAGAGGATTCAGTTGATATTTATATCAGTATGTGGAGAAGTCCCTTGACTCCAAATATGCTCAAGTTTGAATTGAGTCTCTAAGTAACTGTAAATGCCTGCATCTTGTGTTTTGAAGTCACTGAAAACAGGATTTATAGTTTAAAAACTTGTCTTGGAAAAAGCATCTGAGAAAATATGTATTTTTCTTTCCCTCCCTTAAATACTTATTATCTTTTCCTTACTACTTTTGGGGGTATAGTTTTATTTTCCAGTTCAGCAAATAGGTTCCAAAAGACTCCATTTTTTATGACAGGATTTGATGGCTTTATTAAACTGCAAGATTGCTGCTTTGCTTTCATTTTTTGTAACTTTTTCTGTGTTCTGAGAATGCCATTATATTGCATATGTTTCAGAACAAATGTAACACTGAAATTCTGAAGAAATTAGAGCATCAAAAGCTAATAGAGGCAGAGAAGAAACGAATTGCACATATGAGGCAACAGCAGCTTGAATCAGAACAGTTTCAATTCTTTGAGGATCAGCTTAAGAAGCAAGAACTAGCTCGAGATCAGAAAATCAAAGAGAGTGTGGCTATGTCTGAACAGATAGACGGCAGTATGCTATCTTGTATTTCTGTACCAGAGAACAATTCCCTATCTACTGCAGTGCTTGAGAAAAAAGAGAGGAGCGGCACATCTGGCTGTGCTGGACATTCACCTCCAGTAAACCGGGTCTTAAAGCCAGCTGCAACTCTAAGTGCTGTTCAGAGTAAGTGCAGAGATTTCTTTTTTCCCCCTATTTTTTTATCTATGTGCATATGTATTTATTCACTGTGAGGATTTCCATAGGGAAATAAACATGAGTCGATTAGTGTACACACAATAGTTCTCTATAGTTTCTTCATTTTAAGAGAGGACATTAGTTACAGTTTCACATTTTCCAGTTGAGTACCAATCAATGGATCTAGAGAGTGAAACTTAGTGTTCCTCTGGAATGAAGTCTGCATCTTGCCATGGGACCTCAAGGGAGCAGAGGCAGAACCTGCAGTGGTTCACCCTGAAAAGCCCTGGCCTGGGAGATGATATCAGGCTCACTGTTACCTCAGAGACAAGCTAGTGAGCATATCTTATGGGCTGGCCACTTCAATTTAGATGAAGTGCTTGTTCTGTAGATTTATTCTTATTAGAAATCTATGATGTGGTAAATATAATTCTTTCACCTTTAATAATAGAATATAATATACTTTGTGTATTTCCTTATTTTAAGGATCTTCACTGTGTAAGCTGTAATTGCCTTTTTATCTCTCTTTCTCTCTCTTTTTTTTTTATTTTTTTTATTCTTGGTTAGCTCAACTGGCTGAAGCGCTCAGAGGTGTCATTTTGCCCAGGGATCTCTGTCACAAATTTCTGCTGCTAGCAGAGGCAAATACAGTAAGAGGAATAGAGACATGTGGAATTCTCTGTGGAAAACTGGTACAGTTTAATGCTCACATTTGTACGGGGAAGATGTATTTGATTGTACTGTGTTATCCTGTGATGTATTGATTTCAGAGTAGATCTAAATGATCAGTCTTTAATGTAATTAACTTCATATTATAATCTGAGTGATCACTTCAGCATTGTGGGCTTGCTTTACTGGGAAAACATCTGATCAAAGTACTCTGTTGTTGTTATAAAATGTAGCAAGTTTTTCAGCTGCTGTACAACACAGGCTTTTGCGAGTACTTTCTCTGGCATTCATCTAAGGTAAGTGAGGTTTAGTTACAGGACAATGAAATATAAAGACTGCTAGAATACACTGGAGTCATCAAATTCATAGTGCCACAACAAAAAAGAAGAAGAAAATCCCCGGATCAAACTGTAGAACATCTGATTTTCAGTCTGTTTTTTTTCCCTTTGACCTAGATAACACTTAATGTCCTTCAGAGCAGGAAAAGGTGTCATGGCTGATGCTGGCATACAAAGAATTTTAAAGATGATATCAAGTGTATTTGAATTGTATGGAGAGAAAGAATAGCAACAGTAGTCATGTTCAAAGTTTCACAGAAAATAATTATAGTTTTCTCAAACCTCTTGTATATGTTTTTAATTATTTTAAAGGATAATCTTTTCACAGTGATCTCTGAGAATATTTCAATACAACAGTCTCATGTTGTGACTAATGCTACCCTGTATGCTTTTATAATAAAGTGCTGAGGCATATTTTCAGGTGCAGTGTGTTAGTAGAGCCACACTGGAATCAGTGGAGCCCATCCTGTTTTGTTTTAGCTGATAGGCTGACATCTTTCAGATTCTGATTCAGCATTTATTCATTAGTTCGTTTGTTCCACTCTAAGTCAACGTTTGTTTTACAGACACATAATGAATTTACTATTACACATGTAATAGTGCCAAAGCAAACTGCAGGACCAGACTACTGTGACATGGAGAACGTGGAAGAATTATTTGGTATTCAGGATCAGTATAATCTCCTCACTTTGGGTTGGATCCACGTACGTATGATTCATAAATTCTGGCTTTTCTATATTGGCTCTAAATACCGTGTGAAAAAGAAACCTGGAAATAAACTTAAGAAACAACTGGAATAATCCAAATGAATTTGCTTACTTAATTCTAATTGTAGTGATGTAAATGAGCACTAATGTTGTCCACAGAGTATTTCTTAATGCAGTTGAGGCATCCTGTTGACATTATGGGCCTGCTTTTGTCTGTGCAACTTTTGTTTATATTTAGGGGTATTTTATTACTTTCTAATGCCGTATTCAGAAGTTGGGGAGGGGGAGGTATTGTGTTGTTGAAACTTTATATTCATTTCACTCTTAGGGATTTTGTACAATCAAGGAATTTCCCTTTGTCTTGTGCTTTTTCATTCAACCTTTCCCTCCCCATGATCAGAAAACTGCTTATGTACCTGATTGTGAATGTGCCTCCATGAATCTCATCCTGAAGAGCCACCCTAACAATATAGAATCTGGGCTAATAAGAACTTAAGAAACCAATCTGAGAAAGTACTGATGCTTTCACTTGTCACAAATTATTGTCCCTTCTTGAATTTATGTTGACCTTGATATGTAAGAATTATTTCATGATGTTGAGTTTTCCCTTTCTTTTTCTAGACACATCCAACACAAACTGCATTCTTATCCAGTGTTGATCTTCATACTCATTGTTCTTATCAGCTAATGTTGCCAGAGGCCATTGCAATTGTTTGTTCTCCAAAGCATAATGAGTGAGTTCTGATTTTTTTTAAGTAATATTTAGATACTTTTCCCTGCTCCTTCTCATAAAATTTTATCAAATGCAAAGAGTACGTGCCAGCTCAGATAAAGGGCATGAATATCGAGTTGAGTGTTTGTTTTCTATAAGTAGCTCAGACTTGCACAACATTGTTCTGGTTTCTCTCTCCTCCTCCCTTCCCAGACCCAGGTTTTAAATTTTGTTTATTTTTAAATTCTGCTCAACAAAGTATTAAGGACAAGAGCTATTCTTCTGGAGTCCTCATTGCCAGTGGCCTACCACAGATCTATCTTCATTCTGTCTAGTTAAGAAAGTGGAGGGAAATTAGGCATATTTCTCTAGAATTATATGAAAATTGCAGTTTGTGAAGCAGAAGGATAAAAATTACTTTTTTTGATAATAAGAGTCTATTTTTCTATTTCACAAAATATAAACAATATATATCTGAAAAAAAATATGGAACTGTGTTAATAATAATGTGAAGGTTTATAATGGAACAGGTTGCCCAGAGAGGGTGTGAACTCTTAATCCTAGGAGATATTCAAAACCTCACTGGACATGGTCCTGGCAACCTGCTCGGGATGATTCTGCCAGAGCAGGGGTGTTGGACCAGACGATCTTCAGAGGTTCCTCCCAGCCTCATCAATTTTCTGATTCTCCTTTGGTGTGCTTGGCATTTCAAGGCACCAGGGCTAACTCCATTGTTTAGACTGTGCATTTCTTCAACCTTTTTTTCTGGCCTTCTGCCTCTTTAGATGGCTTCAATGAACCCTGTCCTGGATACCTAACTTCCTATATGGGCCATTCAGGTAGCAGAACTGTGAATAAAGATCGAGTGGCAAGAGCACAAGCGCTAGGCTTTGTAACCTTGAGCATATCTGTGTACCTTTTCAAATTTCTGATCTTCAGAACTTCTTTCACAGTTTATGCTGATACCCTGTAACCAACTCTAACCTGTAACATCTATTATCTGGTGCTGTCCTGCAGTTAATAGGTATCAATCTTCTTTACAGAAGGGTGAGGTTTCTAACATTTTATTCAATACCCAAAGTATTAGCTCACACATGTGCAGCAGTGCATTTTCTAATGCTTTGTATTACATGATTACCTAAAGGAGTGGTAATCACCACTAGTCATTTAGACAGCTAGCTTAAAGGCTGTTTTTCTTTTAAGTTGCCCTGGGTGAAATGCAATCCAGAACACCTAAGTTTCTGTATGAACTAGCCTTAGCCCTCAGTAGGCTAACCTGCCGAATGGGAGTAGCACCACTACTGTGATTCTTTTTCTAACCCCCTCCCTTCATCATCTCTTCCTTTATAGGAATGCAACTCCCTTTAGTTTAAAATACCTTTAAAAATCCAACTCAGCCTGGGCTCTTCTGTATCGAAGGTCACCAAGTGCCATTCTGTTGTCCTTCTCTTCAGCTAAGCTATTTGTATGTGAAACCTTGGACATGTATTATGGGAGCAGTGTGTAACAGGAGTTTCTTGTTTTGCTTTCCAGCACCGGCATCTTCAGACTTACTAATGCTGGCATGCTAGAAGTATCTGCTTGTAAAAAGAAGGGATTCCATCCACATACAAAGGACCCTAGGTTATTTAATGTAAGTATATAATCCAACATGGTTTTGACTATTTAAATTCTTGCCCATTAATCTGCTATGAGCAGAAATCACATGTGCTTGAGGTTAGATATCTTAATAATTTTCCCGCTGTCTTAATGATTCATTACTCTTAGTTGACTGACTAAAGTGGACAGCAGGAGACTGCTTAAGCAATCAATAGCAGCCATGAAATGAGTGTTACATGCTGCCATTTAAATGGTGGCTAACCAGAGGCAGTTACCATCAGTCAACACTTCTTGCCTGCTGCTTTCTAAAGGAGCAAAAACCACATTTTCAAATGGGAGTTATTCCTGAGCTCTTCAGTTTTTAAACAAAGAATCAGTTCAGTTCATCTCTCCAACTGTAGAGTCCCAACAAAACATCCTAGCTGCTAAAAAGTGCTGCTATGAGTAGGTTAAGCCCTATTTCTTTCATTGCCCATAATTTTCCCCTGGCTACCATATCTTTTGATAATAACAACTATGTTGTAATAACATAGTAAGCTATATGTATGGCTCAACAGTAGAGTCAGTCAGAGTTGTCTTCCAGATAACAGTAATATTTCTTATAAGTCTTTACCTTTGAATAATTAAGAATTTGGGGTTTTTAAATAGGCCTCACTTTAAATACAGAAGCATCTCATATAGCTCAAAACAAAGAGATCAAATACGGAGAAGTAATGCTGAGAGACAGTAGAAATTACGTTGTTGTCAGACTTTCTGAATGTCAGTATTAATCCTCAAAAGAAGGAGAAGTCGGGGTTCTTTGTTTTGTTCTGTTCTTTTATTGTTCATTGCAGGGGTAATGAGAAGGTAGTCCAGCTCTGAAAAATGTTAAAATTTTTTGTTCCAAGTGGGCCCTTTTCACTGGTCCTTTACAAACGTGATTTACAAAAGTTACTGGCTATTTTACTGAAACTGATTTCTGTCAATAATGGGTTGACTTCTTCTGCAGCCATGTACCCATGTGGTTGGGAAAGACATAAAGATAATTGTGCTGGATCTGAGGTGATACGGATGGATGATATTGATGTTGTTCTACAAAAGGCCAAAACAGAAAAATGGATTCCTGTTTTTCCTACATTTTCAGAAATTACTTTTATATTTATACATTTTAGATTGAATGGTTTGATATTTATTGCTGTAGCCTGTTTTGGAGTTATTTTGTTGCTCTGTCAAGGTGGTCTTCAGTGGCATTACCCCTGAATCTGTAAACAACCCTCACCTATAAAACACAATAAAATGAACTTCAAACAACAGTAACTGTGTTGAAATAAGTAATGTTTCTTTTATCACTTGCTGGAATTGATTGACTTCTGAGAATCAGAGATTTACAGTTGTTGGCTTTTTGTGATTTCCAGCCACGTACATCTATTCAGTACTTCAGTGAATTTACATTATGTAGTAGCGGCAAATAGATCAGTTTGGGTGATTCTTTTTTCCATCCTTTCCCCCCTTCCAACTTGGTATAGCTCAAGTTTCAGCTAACAGAAAACACTTAGGAAAACACAAATCCTTTACCTGAGAGCTGACCCCCATCACATCTTGGGATAGCAAAGATGCATCAGAGTCCTTTGGAGAAATGTGTCTCCTCCAGCAATCCTCTAATAGAAACTTTCAATTTAAAGACACTTCTTATCCTGCAAAGGATTCCCTGGATCTATCTAGAATTAGATAAAAGGATCTAGATAGAGTTAGAAGGAAGAACCATACAAAGTTATTTGCTTTTACAAGAGTTTATTTAGTAATTGTTCCAAGAACTTAGATGACCTATACTTTAAATAATGAGGTTAGTACAAAGAGGTTTGCAACATGTGCTAACACTCAGAAGCTGGACAAGATCTGGAACACCGGGGTTATGCAGGTAAATAACAGGTGCTGTTGCAAAGAGCTTACAGTTTGAAAGATAACAAGTAACAGGAAAGTGAGATAAACTATTGAGTTTAGGGAGGAAAATAGGTTAACAAAAATAAATAGCATTCTTTATCTTGAACTCTAATGAATACAGATTGCAGCAAGTTCCTTAGAAGTGACCTTTTCCAGGTCTGTCTCAGTGAATTCTTTATTCATATATATATACTTTTCAGATAGTATTACTGACTTCAGCTTCTGTGCATATGCTTTTAGCTGACTATCAGTTTTGATGTATTTAAGATTATAAAAGGAATCAGAAAAATCACAGAAAAAGAAAATTGTCTAAATTATTTTAGCTACTTTGATTACATTACTCACCCCCCCACCCCCCAAAAAAAAAGTTCTGAAGAGAAAGTGTATTAAGCCAGCTTAATTACTCTTTAGATCTTGCTAGAAATCACAACATGAAAATAATAGGCTGCACTCATCCTGAGGGCATATGTTCAACCTAATATTGATGTTTAGATATGCTCCCAAAGGAACAGGTTTTGTTTCTTCAAAGAAATGTTGTGGTACACATTGTACACCTCTGGGCCATGTCCTGTAAGCAATTAGCTATTCCAGCATGACAGCTGTGAATTAAGAAGTGATGTGGAGAGATAATATTTCCAGATAGAGCAGATGCAAAGCAGAGTGCCCATGCTCATCCTGATATCGAACACATGCTACGCTCCTTTGGTACTGCCCAGAACTTTGGAAAAAATCACAGCATGTCCTGTTTGCAGATTAAAATGTTTTCTGAGGCTTAACTTTGAGAACGTGCAGCCTGATAGGTAAGCACTTTCTGGCATTGGTATCATTGAGGTAAAGGTACCCCTTTTCTGTTAAGCCCAGTACGGTGTAGTAACAAATTCATGTCACAAGATGGTGCTTCAAACCAGCTGTAATGGCATCTCCACACATGCACGGCTTGGCTTTTGGTTTTGTTTTTTAAATAGGAGCAGCAATTTATAGCATAATTAAAATTTATTTTAAAAAAATACACAGTATCCAATTAATTAGATTAATTACGATGAAGGATTTATGGAATGAAATCATAAGAATGTATTTTCCTGAATACATTCACACGAAGGAGACATAAAAAGATAAAGCAATTTAAAAGCATTTGCGGTGAACAATGGATGGGCCAGCTTCATCATATTCCTGTTTGCTGATCCACATCTGCTGGAAAGTAGACAGGGAGGCAAGAATAGAACCTCCAATCCAGACAGAATACTTGCGTTCAGGAGGAGCAATGATCTGTTTAAAAAATAAAAGCATTAATCACAATTGTCTACTGTGAATAAAATGCATTTTTTTATACAAAATTAGTAAAGCAGTGATACATGATATTAACAAAAATACTGGATATATGTGCTAGTGTCATCACTAGCATTACATCTAGCCTTTGCTGCAAGCAGTAAAGTTAACAATTTGTTATATAAGTGTATACTTTCAATTTCTCTTCCTGAGTCAGCCCCTATATTAACCTCTATCCCTGATGTATTTGTATACTCACTGCCTCATATGAGAAAGGAGAGATAATTGCTCTGGAAACAAATAATGATAGTCCAGGAGGACTTGGAAAAACAAGGAGGAGGAAGATTGGTTTGTCAGAGTCTCCTTCTTTTTTGAACTTGTAGGCCAAAGACAAAGCCAGCATTTCTCTCTCCCATGTCCATCAAATAAAAAGGACTGAAAAAATATCACATATGGCTCCAGAAGAAAATTTATGCTGCTGGGTCCACAGTATTCTTCTTTGGCCATGTTAGGGCAGTTGGCAGAATTCAACATGAACAAGAAATGAGAGATGAGGACTCTCTTTTTCCAGCACCAAAGTTACTAGGTGGTGATTATTTGCTAAACAGTCCACATGTGATTCAAAATATGTTAAAAGCACTTACTTTGTAAAGTGTCACTATATTTCACTAGATCTTTAAGGACTTTGTAAATGTCAGCTTATATAGTCTACAAATTATTCCACCCTACATACCTTGATCTTCATAGTGCTAGGAGCCAAAGCAGTTATTTCCTTCTGCATCCTGTCTGCAATACCCGGGTACATTGTAGTGCCTCCAGACAGCACATTGTTGGCGTAAAGATCCTTTCTGATGTCTATGTCACATTTCATGATGCTGTTGTAAGTGGTTTCATGAATGCCAGCAGACTCCATGCCTGGGGAAGGTACAGAACAACACTGAGGAAGCAGATCTGTACAGAGACTTAAAATTGTTAACATAGAACATGAACTTTAGCATCTCTTTAGGAGATATCAGTCTTCAGAGCTTTGGAAATCTGGAAAGTCATTCTGCAGTTGCCTAAATTATTTGCTTAAGAGTTCCTTGGTGTACAGCTCTCCTCTCCCCCTTATGCACACGTCTCCTCCTTAAAAAGAAACCTGGGGGTGTGGAATAGTAAAGTTTCCATTTGGCTTTTGCAGGCAATCTCAATTGTACTAAGAACTCCTTATATGGTCTTGGAATAATTTGTTTTCTTTTTTCTTTTTAAATTAAGTTAGCTTAGACACAGAACACTCAAAATATGTCCTAATACCTCTAGGTATGCAACTACTTTATGTTTGAGCTGAAATTCTGCCGATTGGCAGAACTGACATTGGATATCTGTGTGACCTAGTTGCAAATCTGCCTTCATGGATGTTGATTAGCATGGCATTGCCTTGGCTTTGCTCTGAAAATGCGATGAACCACGGATACAGGATGTTGAGCAGTCTTTTGGAAAAATAAAAGTAGGTCTGCCTGCCTGCCTGCCTGCCTTCCCCTGCCACCCCTCCCCACTCCTGGCAACCACATTCAAACATACAAAATGGCACAGGTCCAATGCCAGAAGCCAGGAATAAACATTGTGGGTTTATTTTGGGAAAGCATTTTGCCTAATTGTTTGACATGAGGTTCTTCCCACCATATTAACAGTGCTGTTCTGAAAGATTATTTTATAATGGATGCTAGGACAGCTTGTGTATACGTCTGAGTGAGTTAGTAATGGAACAGAGTCAAAAGAAAATAGGGACTTGATATTTATGTACAGTTTACCAAGGTAGAACAGTCATTCAACTTACCAATGAAAGATGGCTGGAAGAGGGTCTCTGGGCAGCGGAAGCGTTCGTTTCCAATGGTAATCACCTGACCATCGGGAAGCTCATAGCTTTTTTCCAGAGAGGAGGAAGATGCAGCAGTGGCCATCTCATTTTCAAAGTCCAGGGCCACGTAACACAGCTTCTCCTTGATGTCACGGACAATTTCACGTTCCGCTGTCAAGAGGATTCAGTCTTTACAATTGCATTCAGGAAGGACCCAGACATACTGACAAGTTGTTCCCTTTCATCCTCCAACACCCTCCCCATATTTTAAACAAATCACTGCTAGTCTTGCAAGGGACTTTCATGTTGAATCCTTCTTGTGCCTGTGTAACTGCAGGACCACTGCTAGTCCTTCTAAAGCCAGTAGAAACACTGCACATTAAAAACTCTCCTCAGTCAGCAGCATGTCCTTACCAGTGGTCACAAAGGAGTATCCACGCTCTGTCAGGATTTTCATGAGGTAGTCTGTCAGGTCACGGCCCGCCAGGTCCAGACGCATGATGGCGTGTGGCAGGGCATAGCCTTCGTAAATTGGCACGTTGTGGGTGACACCATCCCCAGAGTCAAGCACGATTCCTTTGAGAAGATAACACGATTCATTCCCAGGCCCTCATCAACACACGTAACTATTTCTAAGTCTATGTTGCACTCCCCAGAGGCCTACCTGTGGTACGTCCAGAGGCATAGAGGGACAGAACAGCTTGAATAGCTACATACATGGCTGGCACATTAAATGTCTCAAACATAATCTGAAATGCAATGAAAATAATTGTCTTAATACTGGGGGAGTTCAGCTTAGTTGAAGCAATCGACTGAAAGAGAGGTAGAATACAAGATTTTCATATTTCTCAATGGTTTTACAAGGTTTTACGAGGAAGTAAAACACAAAATCTAAATCCAAAAATATTTGTCCAGTAAGGTATCTCCCTGTATTTGGCCTATATCTTTAAGGTATTAATATAGACACATGCTCATATTAAAGATAATTTTGTAATAGGCCTGGGCATAAAAATAGATTAAGATGACATAAAACTTGGACAGACCAAAGTACTCACATGTGAAGTGGATACACTGATTTTCTAAAGTAAAGGTAATAATATGTAAATAAAACAGGTGGTCACTATGCACTTTCCATCTTCCATAACAAAGGGAGAGAGACCGCTGGGCAACATGACTAACTGAAATGATAAAGGTCACATCCTGTTGAACTGCAAAGTTGAATTATCCCATAGCTTTAGTGTGAGCTCACCTGGGTCATTTTCTCACGGT